CCTCATTACTGAGTTGGGAGGCACAGCCACGTGTCGGAGGGGATTTGCAGGCAGCGGCTTTGAGGAGCCCGCGGGCTGCTCGCCGGGCTGGAGCTTTTGCTTCAACCCCAGGAGGTCCAAAGATGCACGAAGGGTTTGGATTTCAGGGTCTGAAGTGGGGCAGAGTGGGTTTTAACTCCTTGCATCCCCAGAAACGTGAGATATTAGATGGATTAACGCCGTGTGCTGCAGAGACGGTGGCACTGCGGGACGCAGGGGGTGGGGGACAGCACCGTCTCTCACTTGGCCGGGGTGTGATGGGAGCAGGAATGGGATGCGTGAGGAGCAGCTTGTGGCTCTGCTGCTCCTTATCACATCAGCTGGTGGGAATTAATGAGCTGGGGTGGGGGGAGCCACTGCACTCCTGCCCTTCCCCCCAGATTGGGCCGAGATCCCAATTCCCGGCAGAGTCCCTATAAATTGCTGAGATGTCTGGGCTGGTGACAAGGGGGAGCAGGGGGATGACAGGAGCTGGAGAGGGGGGTGGTTGTTGGGAGGTCAGAGGGATATGGGGGCATAGAGGTGTCTTAGATGGTTAATCCCTGTTTTGGTGACCTGGCCTGGGATTTGTGGACCCCAGTGTAGCTGCCCCCTATGGCACCATGCTGGGCAGGGGTGCTGGGATGATTTCACCCTGTGCAGGATCCTCTGATGCTGCTGGGTGTCCTCCCAGAGAGCCTGGCACCACTGTGGCACTGCTGTGACATGATGACATCAGTGGTGTGGAGCCACAGGGTGTGGACACACCGGGGACAGGGAAGAGGCAGCTGTGATGGGAATGTGGGTGGGACACTATCACACTATATCCCTGGCTTGCTCTCCCTCATCTGGGACCAGTTTGGGATGTGGGGATGTGCTGGGATGAAATCTGGGCTCTCAGCACTGAGCTGGGCCATGGGGACGAGGTGGGGTGACAGGGACATGGCTGCAGCCCTTCCCACCTTCACGTATCCTCACTCGCTCCTGGCAGGTATCCAAGTCCCCCGCTGTGACAGAGGGTCCTGGGCACACATCCATGGCTGGGGGGGGGCACGTGGCCCCCCTGGGGAAGGAAACCATCACCATCACCCTCCATGGTGCCAGCAACCTGCCAGCCACACGCGAGGGCCGGGTGCCGTGGCCGTACGTTGTTGTGTGAGTATCCAGCATCTGCAAAGGGGGACAGCAGGGATGGTGGGGACACAGAGAAAGGGTTTGGGAGCTGCCACCCTCTTCATGAGCCCCGGGGAGGGGGGAACCTCTCTGGCATCGCCTCCGTGAGATGCAGGGAGAGGAGCCAGGACTCCTCGCTGCGATGGGGGAAGGCAGACACGAGGCACTCTGGCTTGCTGGGGTGTCAGGAAGAAAGTGTTCCTAATATTGAAAGTATAAAATGATGTCAAAGAATCCACAGGGTAATGCTGCCTGGGTTTGGGGATGATATCACAATAAATAAAAGAGTGTTTTAATAAATAAAACAGGATGTTGGGTAAGGAGGACTTGGCTCCTCGTGCATTATGCATGTGCCAGGGGACTCAATTAGCCCATCAGCTTTGGTCTGTGGTAGGAGGGAGGCCGTCCTGCTCAGCACTGCCATCCCAGAGGCAGAGGGGCTTCATTTCCCTGGAAAAGAGGGGAGAAAGCAACTATCAGTGCCTTCAGAGCATCACCTGGCTGCGGAGCTTGGTTTTTGCAGGGCATCTCCCCAGGGCAGTGCTAGGCAGGCTGGTACCCAAGTGGATCCATCAGTGCCAAGGGAACAAGGCCGCAGGGTTGGGGTTCATCCACTGGGAACAATCAGCAGCCAGGACTGTGAAAGCCTAGAAACACCTCGTGTAAAGCAAACTGTTGCTTGCTGGGTGTTTTCCAGAGTAGAAACCCTGAGCTCTGTGGCAAAGGGGGTCCCAGGGACCGTCATTGTGACAGAGTGCCCTGTGCCAGCCCCATCAGGCATCCCAGAGGCTCCCTGGGCAGGGGGGGGGATGCAGGACTCCATAATCAAGATTTTGGCAGCTGGGGCTGGCTGACATGTGAGCTGGGAGCCTCCACTGCCACCCCTCTATCACCCCATCCCCTCTTTCCCAACCCCCCCATGCCAAGGACCCGCTCTCCGCCCCGACAGCCTGAGTAACTCTACGGCAGGACTTGTCTCTATTTCCATAAACCAATTATACCCAGATGATCTCCGGAGATTTAAACATCAATATCCTAAATGATAGCACGAGGGTGGCGTGTGATTGTTGCATCTCTCTTTACATTCTGGTGCTGCTCCATCACCGCATTGCCATGGTAACGGGAGAGTGATGGAAGGGAGGGGAGGGGGGTATTAGGGATGCAGGACACATGAGGGGCCTTTTAGTAACCATAGTGAGGGAGCCAAGGCAGAAGGGAATCACTGACTGTTTTTCAGGGCACTTGCTCTTTAAGGAGAGTAGCATGTTGCAGTTAAAAGGTGGGGTTTTATGGATGGGAGGGAGAAGTTGGAGGGGGATGTGCTGGTGGCGAGTCTGGTGGCGAGTCTGGTGGCATCCAATCCCCCCCAAACAGCCAAGTGATAACCAGTGGAGCCATCCCAAGCCCAAAGTGCCAGCACACAGAGCATCATCCCACATAAGGATGTGATCCAAGTGGGATGGGAGGGAGGGAGCAGCACCACTGCCCTCTGTGGCTGTGCCCAGTCACTTGTGCCTGGACTCAGCATCCCACAGTGCTCCGTAGTTGTGGGCACCACTTCCAGAGATCTGGGGAGGGAAAGGTTTAGCAGAGCGAGCCTGAAAGACCTTGAAGAGCAGAAGATCCCACACAGGGGCTTTGGCTCACCCTGCCCCAGAGAAAGCCTCCTCCTCCGGGGATGCTCTGGGGATCTGGCAGCACCTTGGCTCTGCTCCTCACCCTCTGTACACCCAGAAAATCCTCCCTCCCTGCTTCCAGGGGCACCGGGGGGTTTGTTCCGCATCTTCCTTTCACTCCCTCGTGCTCACAGACAAATTGCTGCCGGACCGGCAGGATGCAGGGATGACCTTGGCGTGCCGGAGCCGGGCGTGTTTGCAATTAACGGCACAAAGCGCCTGGCCCCGGCCGGCTTCTCCTCCCCGCTGAGTACCACGGGCGGGTGAAAGGACCTCCTCGCTCCCTCCTTTCTGCTCTTCAGTGCCCAGAGAAGCAACTCAAGGTCGCTGCTGAATGCACCAGCTGCTCCCAGGCTGGGGGATGGGGGTCGGCTGTCCCCCTGCCCACGGGGGACCTGTGAAGGCAGCAGTCCAGGTCATGATGCTATGGGATGCTCTCAGAAAGGGTGTTCCTGCAAGTAACACCTTTTGGCTCTGCCCAAAATTAAAGCAGGGACTCAGCTGGTAAACCCAGAGCACTGGGGCTGTGAGATCAAGTGGTCCCCCCTTGCCACAGCATCCTGGTGGGATGAAGATGGAACATCCCAGGGTTAGAAGATCGGGAGCAGTGTAACAACTGGGATATCAGCCCCGAGAAATAACTCACCCTGTAGAGATAATAACTCAAAACACCGGATAAATAAACATTCTGAAGGCTGGGCACAGCCCTGCCAAGCCCTTTGCTGGGCACCCCGGTGTCACAGCAGCGGGGTGGCTGCGTGCCGCCGTCCCCGAGCACCGCAGCCGAGACGTTGATGGGTAATAACTCCCCGGGGGCAGCCGTCTTTATCTTTTATCTTTATCTTTTATCGCAGCGGTGGGCGGATGGTGCATCCCCGCACGCACGGCAGAGCCAAGAGCCTGCCCCGGAGCCGGCAGGGAGGGATGCAGAGAATCGGAGGAGCAGCTCTTGGTGCATCCCAGCCGTGTCCTGCCCTGAGCTGTGCGATCTCATGTCTGCAGCCCCCGCTCCTGCCCCTCCAGAGCGTCTGGAGCTGGCTGGGGGGAGGATAAAACATGAAACCCTCTCTGCTCTCCGCTGTTCCAGCTGCCCCCGGCCTATTCATTTGGTTTTTGAGGCACACCCCTGTGCTTTGTGCAGTTGTGGGTTGTTTTCCTCCCCCTCCCCACTTCACAGCTCTTTTTGAATGCTCTCCCGTCCTTAGGCAAGTCTATAATGAAGGGGGCCTGTTCTCACCCCCCTGCTCCTCCTCCCACCCCCCCAGCCAAGGTCTGGCTTCATTCGGACTCAGAGCACGTTGCTGGGAGAGCAATCCCCCACAGAGCTCATTACTGGAGAGCCAAGTTTTTTTCCAGCCCCTCCAAAACAGTGCCAGCCTGATGGCAATTCCCACCTTCCAACGCTGGCCAGCTCCATCCCTGTGGGATGCAGATGGGCTTTGCTGGTGGGGAAGGGGACACGTGGGAGATGAAAAAGGAGCACGGGATGCAGATGCAGCATGGCTGAGGGCCCACTAGACCAATCTCTTCAGCAGGGAGAGGGAATGGACATCTTGCAACCACCCTCCCATCCATCTGGGATGAACCTGCTCGGTCCCACCTGGAGCTCACCCTACAGCTGGAAGGACCTTTGCGAACGAAATGATCTTTAAGCACCCTTCCATCCCAAACCGTTCAATAATTCTATGCCTTATAATCTCTTTTCCCCCATTGTTGGAGTCTCCAGTGACACCATCTCTTCTCAGTCACAACAGTGCCCTGGTAAACTGTCCCCAAGGGCCATGTTGGCTCTGCCCCAGGAAGAGCTTTTCTTGGAGGGGCCAGCACCAGGCACTTCATCACCTTAATATCCAGAGCAACCTGTTCACAGGGGTGGGATATCTGTGTCACAGTGGGATGCCACCATCCCCTCTCACCCCATGAGTGGGGGTGCGGGGACTTGAGGTCACCACATCACCAGGCAGTGGGACTCTGCTGTGGTTTTGGGACTCCAGATGTCTTGCTGGGCAGTGGAGACGCCCTAAAAGATCTTCCAGCCCCACTAAAAGTGTGGGGGGGATTATTATTATTATTAGCCAAGCTTATGAGTAATTGGTGATTAATTGATAAAAGTGGGAGGAACAACCCCAAAACATGCTTGATGGTGACACCAGCACAGATGAAGAATTACCCAGGTCTGTAGCAGTGAACACAACCATAATTATTGCTCAGCATTGTTATGTGCCCAGTCTAATGATGACAGTCGTTAACATTCAATCTTCTCTCTCTTTTCCCAGCAGCATCTTCCCTGTCCCTTCATCAATACTGTGGATAATTAGCCTCCGGGGCCTGAAATAGCCTTTAGGATAAAAGGGGCTGCAAACCCCGTCACTGGGGGCTGGGCAGGATCCAGGAGTAAAAGCAGCACTGAATCCCCAGCAAAGCCCCCCCAGAGCAGGGGCAGAGCTTTGCTGAGGGCTGGATGCTCGTCCCTCTCCCAGCTCCCTGCTGCCATATTCCTCACCTGTTTTCCTCCCTTTTCCTCACAGTAAGACCAGTGGAGGGGCTGAGCAGAAGCGGGAGGCATCTCGTGCATCCTCAGAGCCCACCCACACACCCACCTGGGAGGAGGAGGTGGTGCTGGAAATGGATGCCGAGGATGCAGGCTGGGCAGGTGAGAGCATTGGAGGACCGTGGGGACAGGGATGCTGGGGACCAGGATGTGGGACTCATTCCTCAAAGGGCTAATTTGGGGATAATATTAGGGAGTCCCTGCTCCTCAGGACCCCAGGCAGAGGGAACGAGCCATGTCCTGAGCTCATGGCTGTGGTGTCTGCAGGGCAGGACCAGGAGGGACGTGCCCAGGGTGGAACAGGCAGTGATGCTAGGCATCCTCCAAAGTATCCAATGGGAATCAGCATCAGAGGGGAAACACCCCCAAATCTTTCCCTACTGCCATCCCTCACCTTGTATCATCTGGAGCCACATCCTGATGCTGTTACTCCCCACGCAGGGCTGCTAAATCTGTAATTGTGATAAAACTCGTGGAATTAGGGGCCAGGATTTGATTATAAAATCAGCTCCTTACAAAATAAACGTTAGGAACCAATCTTCACATCGTGCCTAATCCCATTAGGCCCTGACCTCGGTGAAATTGAGGATATTTTGATGTACTTTTTTGCCCCGTGCGGGATCATGAGAAATTCAGGGAGACTTGATGGAGCTTCCAGGTCTGCTCCTCCACCTCCCAGCATCTCCCAGATGTTTGGCCATGTTCATCCCCCAGGTGTTCATCCTGGAGCTGTCATCCCCAGGTGCAGCTCACAGCTTTTTCTTCCCCGGCAATACAGTTTCCATCCTTTTATCTCCCAGAAATCCCAGTGTGATCCATCATTGGTGATGACAGGCAGAAAAGCCACTTGTGTCTCGCTCAACCCCAGAACGTTTTCTCTGGCGCTTCTTCCACGAGGAGCTGGGAGAAAAGGAAAATTTCCATTTAAATGGAGCACGTGCTGTAAAGCACAAGTTTAGGGAAGCATGGACCAGGCACTTGCCTTCTTTATCCTCACTTTGGGGACATGCACAACCTGTGGCATTCCCAGGCTGGCCAAGCAGGAGTTAAGGCGGGTGCCTCGGCGCAGTCATTAAGCTGGGGGAAGGGAGGCCCAACTCTTGATGGCAGCATAAAGAGAGGGCGGTTTTCCCTTCCATCAGCTCCTTTTTTTTCTTTTTTTCTTTTTTTTTTTTTCCATAAAAAGCTCCTGCTCCTGCTTGTCAAATAAATGGCAGCTTTGCTCTAATTTAAGGGAAGAACTGGGGGTGCCAGAATCCGTGGGGTGATGCTGCCATGCCAGGGGACAGATGGGGACCAGGCACCTCTAAGAGGACTGATTTCATGGTGGACCCTGAGGCAGGGAGGGCTCAGGGCAGGATGGAACCCTGCAAGCTGAGCAGGGTGGGTTGGAGGCAGGGAGGTGGATTAGATGGATCAGTAGGAAATCCTGGCTTCTTAGATGGGAATCTGAGCTGTGTTGGTGCCAGCTTCGCTCTCCTGGAATTCCCTGGGCCCTGTTCTTCATGGCTCCCTGGGATGCACATGTGTGTGTGTATTATCCTGGTCTGGGTGTAAAGCCTGCTCCTGTCCACTCCACCCTGGCCTTGTGAGGGGAAGGGCCTGCTGAAAATTAATCACTCCATTGTCTCTGTCCCGTTCTCACCCAGACCTTCCCCCAAACCTCTCCTTTTCCCTAAACCTCTCCTCTTTCCCAAACCCTGCTCATCCTGACAGCTGACCCTCTCTCCCCTTCCAGTGCTGACCCTCACTGTGGCAGACAAAGCTACCAAGGAGGCACTGGGGACATTCCAGCTGCCAGTCCGGCATCTCCAGCCCTTCCAACCCCACCACTGCAGGCTGATGCTGGTAGGTACAGCACGAACCCCTCCATCCTGCTCCTTATTCCTGCTTATAGTTTGATTTTCACCACTTGTAGCTGGGGGCTGTGGGCAAAGGGAGCCTTGTGTAATGCCATAATACCGGTGGGAAAACCACATTTGGCAAGTTGGGGAAGGTGCTCAAAGAGGCTTGTGAGCTCCCTGAGAGGGAGGAACAAGGCAAGCGTTGTGCTGGGCTCAAATGTGGTGGAAAAGTGATGGGATTGCAAGCTGGGAAGTGCTTTCACCCTCAGGATCCTGGGAAGGAGAAGCAGGGCAGGACATTCATTAAACAGAGGTTGCTGTGCATTAATTAATGCAGGCAGGTACCCAGCCCCAGAGAAGCAGCTTCCTGAACCCCTCTATGGGCATTTCTCCAACCCAGGGACTTGGCCAGTAGCGCCCTGTACAGCTGAGGCCTGATAAACTCACTCCATTACTCCCCCAAAATCAAACTCTCCTATGCTCAGGCTGGCAGAAACGAGCTTACCCTTCCCTACATAGATTGGGAACGATGAAATATTTAAACACAGAAGGATTTATTATATTGATCTTTTCCGAGAAGGCTCAGGGGGCCACTGAGCTTTAATTATCAGTTGGTGCTTTATTGCCAGTGATGGGCTGTCCGTGCCCAGTGTCCATGTTTTGTGGCCTTGACCTTTTTCCCCCCACGCTTTGCCCTCCTCCACACACAGCCAAGGAGGCAGGACTCTGTGGGAATGGTCCTGCGTGTCACCATCACCCGCAAAAAGAGCTTCATCCCTCGCTGTGATGGACTGAGCTACGTGGCCTTGGAGGTGAGAGGTGGCCTTGGAGTCAGGGGTGGCAGGGAGGTGTGCAGGGTCTGCACCTTGTCTCCTACTCTGGCAGCTTTTTCCCCTCTCCACAATCTCTGTCCCCTCCCCATGGACCCTCCACCTCCCAGGTGCTGCTGCGGGGGCTGTCTGTCCCCCTCACCACCCTCCCCAGGACCCTCGTGGCCGTGGCCAGAGTTGTGAGCAATGTCCAGGAGTACAAGTGAGTGATGGCCAGGGGTCTGCTGGTGACACAGAGGGACAACTTGAGCATCCCTGGTGCCATCGTGCCCTCCCACGGCGCTCGGCTCACTGGGGTGGATGTGGCCCCACACAAACTGACCCAAACCTTTCCATCACTCCTCAGGCACCGCATGGAGAAGAATCCCATCTCTCATCCCAGCATCAGCCCCACCACCATCCTGTTCCCAGACCCTCCAGCAGCCGCCTTTAGCATCGCCCGAGCTGCCAACCACGGCTGCCCTCAGGTACGAGGCCGAGCGTATCCACAGGGATGCAGGGATCCAGCAGCATCCTTCCCACCTGGGTACCAAAGAGCATCCCTCCTTCAGCAGGGGAGCTGAGCACCCCACGCAGGAAAAACTTCAGGGGCAAAACGATGCTTTGAGCGTCAGACGTGGTCCTCACATGCAGAAACCCACAGGCAGCTCCTCGTTTGTGCCTTTGTCCTTCATTTTTCCCTCTGCTCTGCTCACGCCTCCAGCTCGAGTGCCTCCTCTCGAAGGCAGCGACCTTCTCCTCCCCGGGCCTCAAGTACCGCGACGCACATCTTCAAAATAGCTGTTGCCAGGGAAACATCCCCTTTCCACACAGAGCATCGTCACTGGCAAGCGAGAGGAGGGCCCCGCTTTTGTTCCTGAGCCCTGCCAAAAATTGGCGAGGAGGCAGGGAGGGAGGGAGGGGACTGGAGGGCTGGTGGGGCAGGGAGGAGGCGGGATGGAGCAGCAGAGCCAGGAGCCACTGTGTGTAGCTGCCACTCCTCAAAAGCAGAGCTGCTCCATCCTTTCACCTCTGCAAAAGTGCCAGCCGAGGGCAGATGTCCGGCTGCACCCAGAGGACGGATCCAGCTGGGCCCCAGTGCCAGCGGAGCGCACGCGTTTCTCTGGCTCCATCCTCCTCCCCCGTGCGTGGAATTTTGATCGGCTCGGAGCGAAAGGCCCTGGATCAACACATTCGGGGAGCCCATAAATAAAATATCATGGAGAGGAAGCCGGCCAAATGCCAAGTCGCCCGTGAGGCGCTGAATTATCATAAAAATCACTAGTGTGTTTCATTCAGTACAATAATTATTGGTTTATCCCTCCACTTCCCC